GAGACATTGTTGGTTTCAAATAGACACAACTGTTGGGTTTACTGAGGCTGAGTTCACAGAGCCAGAGTGTGCAAGTCTCTACTGACTCAGACCTACAGGCACACATACTAATACATACACTGATATACAATCTATTAAATAACACATACTAATACAATCTATTAAATAACACATACTAATACATACACTGATATATAAATATATGCACATGTACATACACAAAATTTGATAACACGCCTTTGACATTTTACATCCTCTATCAAGGGCTTGTATAACTTCAGTTACTACTGTAAGTTGCCAATTTTTTATGAAAATGTTTTACTACCTAGCATAATTACTTTAGGTTTTTAAAAGAATATTTTTAGCCAGCCTCAACACCCATCTTCTTTTTCATATCACAAAATATTGTAAATAAACAATTTCTTTTTCAGTTTTGCACTAAGTCTTTTTTCTTTGTTCTGTATCATTGTTGTAACCAAGGGAAGGTTACTGAATAGAATAATCACACAATGGTTGGTAATGAACAATAATGCTTAGGACAAGAACAACACACATAAGATTTGCCAGCAGCATGAAGAAAAAGTAGTCAACTGCTAGAAATGAGTCAAGTGCATTCCACAATGAATCTCCAACTGCAGACCAACATATATTATTATTATGATCTAAATTTTGCATTAAATAAAATATCCTTGAATGTTCAATGTATTTACTGCTGTATTTATGTGAATGGGGACATATCCATTATCATCCATAGGTATACTACAACAGTTATAAACATGTGTATGGTAGGACAGAAGAACAGACAAAACAACAGTACCAGCCATGAGGCAAAAGAAAAAGAAAACAAGAATTATAAATATAAAATTCTTTTGTATTGCTGATATAGCGGATGCAAGCGGAATGTCTCTATGTGCACAAGATATGGTGAAGCAAAGGAGGGTGAAGTTGATAAGGCCTGGAGTTGATGTGTTTGTCAGATCAGTTAACAATGGTGACATCAAGAGAGCGAATTACTGAAGCTTGATACTCACCATGAATCTAACTTTGCTGATACAAAAGATCTGAGTGGAATGTCTCTTTGGGCATGATGTGGGTGTCTGGAGGATGGAGAATCTTGTGTAGATATGTGTATCAGGCCTGTTGACTGAAGTCATGGTGGTGAAGCCTGTTTGGTTGAGACAGTTAGCCTGTTGGCTGCATTCTGTGTCAGTCTTTGTGGGAGGCTTTCTTAAAAGCAAATCTGGTGATTCTATGCTCATTTTTTTCTTTGGCAGCAATATTCATGATTGGTGATGTAGTATTTTAGATTTTTGCAGTGTTTTGTTTTGTGGGTGAGATGTAATACTTGAGGCTCCTATGCAGAGGACACCTTTTTTTTATTTTGGGTTTTGCTTTCCTAGTGCTCACATCCAGCAGACATGTAGAGTGAATCAGAAAGAGATCTAATTTGCAGCAGAGTACAACATGTACATAATCTTTCAGCTGTGGTTTCGGTAGCAAAAATGGTTTTACAGTACCACTTCCATGCCAACAGAAGAAGAAAAGATGAAAGAAATAATGTTACCACAAATTCAAATATGTGGAGCTTCTACCCCAAATACAGACATGCTTCCAGATTTGATGAACTGAGATTTGGTTGGTGGCTTCATATTTGTGTACATCAGTAGCCTCTTTGTTAGAAATGAAAATCTGTATGAACCCATCAATAAATTTTCTTCTTATTTTAGGTCAAAGTTGATGATAAAACATTAATAGTATTCTTAAATCACCAGAGAGTATTTCTTCTGTCAGCTTGCAACAATAATCAAGTGTAACAGAGTTGTTTATTGGACAAGAAGCTAACAAATATGTAAGTTTATGAGTGTCAGTAAACCAGCTAGTGTGGCATTTTTAAGCTATTGATATCAACCAGAATACTAAAAACATCTTGGAAACCCAGTGAACAAAATACCGGTGGACCAAAATCACAGTGGTCAAGAATCCCAACCTCTTATCTCAAAAACTGAAAACATCCCAGTTTTGTAAATGAAAGCCTTATATAAAAAAAACAAACTTAACTTTTAAAACTTAAGGTATTTTTAATTCAAATTTTAATGAAAAATCAATAATGATATCCAACATATAAAAACATATAAAAACTTTATTTATACCCTTAATTTGACATAATCTACTTCATATATAATCTATCTTATTCATTTATGTTCTGTCACAAACCTTAGAAAAGCCTCTGTTTATGGATTTCTTCAAATAAAGTTGGGTCTTCTTACTGGATACTAGGTCTCCCTAATTATGAAATTGAATATGTGATTGTAGCATTGTTAGATAAATGTATTTTTAGAGGTTGGATCAATTTTAATGAATCTCTAGAGCAAACAGAGTGGACCCATAAACTCGTGACGTACGTGACTGAAATCAATCTTTCTTGTACATAAGTGTATTGGATATTATTATTATGATCTAAATTTCGCATTAAATAAAATATCCTTGAATTTTCAATGTTAAATTTGTTTCTTTTTTATATGAGATTTTGTTTATTAGGAGAATGGGATTTTGTCCATTTTTGAGAAAAATGCTTGGATTTTTGTCCACTGTGTTTTTGTTTACTGTAATTTTGTCCTGTTACTGAACTAAGGAATATAGTTCGTCTGAGTGATAAGTGATAAAAAAGTGTAAATAATTACTTTTTTTTGAAAATGGGAAAATACCCATAATAGCCTTTTCATCTTGTTTATAGTTATAGTGCATCTTTTTGTCTTGTTTATACTTAGGGTTCATCTTTTCATCTTGTTTATAGTTAGAGTGCATCTTTTTGTCTTGTTTATAGTTAGGGTGCATCTTTTCATGTTGTTTATAGCTAGGGTACATCTTTTTGTCTTGTTTATACTTAGGGTGCATCTTTTCATGTTGTTTATAGTTAGGGTACATCTTTTTGTCTTGTTTATAGTTAGAGTGCATCTTTTTGTCTTGTTTATACTTAGGGTGCATCTTTTCATCTTGTTTATAGTTAGGGTACATCTTTTTGTCTTGTTTATACTTAGGGTGCATCTGGTTATGATAATGAGGTTTTTATTTTTCTCTATATCAGGACGGTTGCTTATGTTATTTTTTCTAAAATTCTTTAAACTTTAAACTAAAGCTAATTCTATTTGTTCGTCGATGCCTTGATTGTGGGAATTATTGTTGATAAGTGTTTGCTCAAGTATTTCAGAGAAAAACTCCGTTCTACACTAATTAACAACAATAATAATTACATTCTTAACTTAATTAATTAACTCATTAATTAATTTATTAACTTAACATTAATAATGAAATTCTTCTCCTTAGTGCTTTAGTTTGTGCTAAGTTATAAATTTAAAATAAATGTACTACTACTTCATTGTATAAAAAAAACATGACAAAAATTCTTGTATTCTCACTTACAAAATTGAATGTCCTTGATATAAAAGAGCTATTATTTAAAAAATACATACTAAACAACATTAGGCAAACACTTCTCAACAAAATTAATTAAGAGTTTAGAGTCATTTAACTACTGCTGTGACGTGGCTTCAATTTGTCTTTTTTATAAATATTTTCATGGCATTTGTTCTAATGAGTTTTCCTCCTTGTTGTCTTGACCACATGAATTTAATAAGTGGACTACTAGGTTGGTTAATAGGTCTCATTGTTTTACTGTTGAAATATTTAGATGTAACCACAAGTTCTATTCTAATAGTTTCTTTTTGTGCATGTCTCACCTCTGGAACTGCATTTTGGTTTCTTGCGACATTATAAGAATTTGAAATGAATAGTAAAGGATATTAACTCTTTACCATTCAAAGATCAACCATAAACTTGAAACCTTTACTAATCCAGGACTCTGATTGGCTAACTGCTGTCTTGGAGCCACACGGTAAACTTGATTCTGAAATCTTCTTTTAAAACTGATATACATAGTGACCACACTTTTATTGGAGCCATGCTTTCTGATGTTAATAGATTACAGAAGCTGCAAAGCCCACTTATTCCTTAGAAACTCTTCTAACAATTAAGTCTGCAAATATAAATTATATTTGCAAGCCTTGTTTTTGCTTATTGGGCATACACTCTTTCTGTACATTAAACCCATTGAATACAGTCATTGTGTTGCTTGTCATCTTCAAGTGTGTCCATCTTTGTTTTTGACTTTGTGGAACATAACTGTCACTGAATAATCTTTATATTCTACGATCTTTAAACATTTAAATGCAATGTCACTTGCAATCTTCTGTCTTTCTGAATTCAGTTCTTTTATTGACCTTTCTCCTCAATAACGTCTTCTCATCTTCTTTCACTCTCAGTAACACCTGATGTCATAGTGGCATTATCATTTTGCTTGTGGTGAAATGATTAAAAAATTTGCTGACAACATTCAATTCTTGTCTGAAATAGTCAAAAGTACATAAAGAAACTTAAAATTTGAACAATTTAGCCACAATTTTGATTTGGATACATTTGAAAAACAGAAAGAAATACAATGAAAAATCAAACATACTGACCTTATCAGTTTTATTTAAGGAAACCTGTTTAAATGAATTATTGAATACTTCCTGACTAAATATACTTTATGCATCTATATCAACACATTCATAGAGATGTGTGAGTAGACATTCCTGAATCTACTAAATTAAATATAGTAATAGGAGAAAGAATGTCAGATTATAAATAAAATCCATTAATTGCTTAGAAATTACATTCATGCATACAGATGCACACACATATGTATGCATATCCATACATGCATATGCTCACATATACATACATATGCACACATAAGCACCAAACAAAGAGCTGGAATTGTTTTATGCTTCTTTTCTTCTTTCTCTATCTTTTTAATTTGCATTTTTTTTTGTAGAGAGCGTTTGCTTCAATGTATGTTTTAGACAATTCCATCCAATGACCTTGAAGGTCACATTAAATGTTAAAAAGAGGTGTATACTTAAGTCAAAGTGTAATCTAATTTTGTTTGCATACAAATCAAGTTTTTTGAAAATTTATCTATCTATCTATTTCAGTCGACTCACATCTATCTATCTATCTATCTATCAATTTACAGGGTGCGATGGGTAAATTATCACCATTTCATATTTTTAACTTTGAGCATGTGCATTGTTTGGTTTTGATTTTGTCAGTATAGTAGGGTCAGTTAGGCACTAACTGTGAGAAAAAGAGCACCATGATGCAATTCACTCCACCAGAAATTTGGAAATGGTATGCTGTACTGCTTGGCATTACACCAGAAACTCCAATACGAACATTTCAGAGTGTTTGGGTGTCAATCTGAAGACAGTGCAGAGGATTCAGAAAGAGTTGTATGAGTCTAATGGTGATTACATAAGTGTTTGGATTGATCACTAGTGATGGCGATGTTATGTCTTCATTCATCTTCCCACAGGACCTCAGACTCAACACATGAGGAGGTAGTGTTGCCATGGGTCAAGTGGGTGACTGCTGGAAGACTATGTCTGGCAACAGGACTCTACACCATGCCATCAAGCAGGAAATCTCATTCATGGCTGTTAAACAATTTCCATGACCTCATCACTCCTTACATCTGGCCACCTTACTCCTCAGACTGCAACCTTGTTGATTATTATATGTGGTGCACAGTTGAACAAGGGACCAAGAATACTGCTTGTAACACCAAAAATGAACTGAAGGCAAGGATTATGGCAGCATTCACCAACTTAAACAAGGAGACCGTCCAGAAAAGTTGCAGGGGATTCCGAAGTCATCAGGAGGCCATGGATTAAACCAATGGTGATTTTATTGAATAAATTTATTCTTTAGTATTTCAACATATTTTTGTATAATTTTGGTAAATGTATTTGTTAAAATGAGATGCCAGAGTTATTTTCATTATTGTGTGATTTAGATGACAATTTATCGATTGCATTCTGTATCTATCTATCTTGGCTCATATCTATCTAAGTCAGCTCACATTGACCTATCTATCTATCTATCTATCTATCTATCTATCTATCTATCTATCTATCTATCTATCTATCTATCTATCTTATTTTACTCAGGTGATAGCTAAAAGCTATTTCACCAATAAGTTACATGGACCCCTGGTCATTTTACGTCCCCACCCACTCCACTGGATTCCTCTAGACTTCAATCTTTTGTCCATGAAAAAGATCAATGATGTTCAAAAATAAAAGGGTCAACTGAACAGTTCACAGGCTGATCAAAGTACCCTCATGGAATGTGACTAAATGAGGCTTATTTTTCAGCATCCCCCCTCACATACGGGCCACACACTGTTTGAATCCCATTGATGAAGAAGCTTTCATCTTGTTGGTCAAAAAAGTCATCAACAAAAGATATGACATCATCACTGTGATACTAGTTCCCAGTCAAGTGTTTTTTCATGTTGGGGAACAGATGATAGTTAGATCAGGAGAATAGGGAGGGTGATCAACTAGTTCAAAGCAAAAGTCATGCACAGCAGTTATTGAAACCAAGCGCTTGTGTGCTGGAGCATTCACCTGATGAAAAAAGACCCCTTTTATCAGTTTTTCTGGGTGTTTAGTCATGATAGCCTTTTATAACTACTTCAGCAACTTTGTATAGAACTCTCCATTGATGATGTGGCCCTTTTGAAGATAGTCAATAAACACAATGCCTTTTTCAAAACAACTGAGTGTGTATGGACAGCATTGCATATTTTATACAAGTTTTGTTTATGTTGACTGATCAAGTACTGTGATTAACCTTCTAATTCAATTTTTCTTGAATTCGTACAAGTATTTTCTTGTCTGAATATAAAGCATCTAAAAACTGTCTAAATGTATTTAGGGTATGTGCCATCACTGCTTTCATTCCAATTCCAGATCACAGTTCTGAAATGTTTCTCTTGAGTTCTAATTCTTGGAACACTTGGTAGAAGATGAGGATAAATCTGACTTTTATGAGAGAATGTGAGTTGACTATTCAAATTACGATCAGATCATCAGGTTACTTTAAAATCATAAACAAAACTAAATAAAGATCAATGATCTGTTTGATGTTGCATATTCAAGTTACAGGTTTTTAAACTTACAATCTCATTTTGTGCCTCTAATGCACTCTTGCTGGTAATATAATGCATATTGGTGATTGAAGTGTAATCATACCCCCTCTTTGGTCATTTTTCATCCAAATGCTCCTGGGATGGCATAAATCCGTTTCCCTCCACAGCTATAGCAGGGTAAGCCAAGACTCTCAGGTCTTGGGTAGCAACGAGTTTAAGAGAAAAAAGCATTTGAATTCTGAAGCATGGAGAAGGCAATGAGAAACTGTCTTTCCCAAGAAAGCATGGCAGTTAAGAGATAACAAAGCAAAGGAATCTAGGAAGACTTAGGACCGCCTACATCATGATGGAATGTGGCATTAAAAGTAAACTTTAAGCCAAGGACCTGTTTTGGGAGACAGGCATAGTGTTAAGCCAAAAAATGCTTCGATGCTGCATCAGACTGGGTTCAAGTTTGTAATCACAAACCCTCTAGTCTGTTTAGGGTGGGTCTTTATGTGTCTTTAAGTATCTTTATGTGTCTTCAAGTTTAAAGACATCATCATTATGTTATCCTCTCAATTCCTTTTATCTTGAACCCTCACCAATTGGTCCACTAAATATGCTAGAGGTTGATACAAGCTAAAATCCCAAATTCTGTTTTTTTAATTTATGGAATCTTTTCCTCATATTGTTATTTATGAAATAAACAATAGAATTAAAAATTAAATAAATATATAATTTGGGGCAACTTTATATACTATTTTTGCTATTTTTTATTTCTTACTCACTAATTTTATTTAAATAGGCTCTGGCAAAACTGTCAATAGGCACAGTGGAGTAATGGATAGCAGCTCAGATTGAGGAATTGGAGAGCTGAGTTTGTATTCCAGTTGAATCCATTACATTCATAAATTACAGTGCTAATACCCTTGGGAAACATATGAATCCTGTTCTTCTTCCCCCAGCTATGGGTAAATAGCAGGACAGACCAGTTTCTATAGTCTTGGATGGCAACTGGTCTACTGCAGAAAGAAATAGCAACCTACTGTAGGAAATAATTTGCTTCATCAGTCATATATTGAAAGATACATGATTGCTCAAGCATGTATCACACATGGCACATAACTGACTGATACTCATTTATTTTCTTTTGATACAAGTTTTTAACATGACTGGAAAGAAAATATAAGTTGAATGGATTGCAGTAGTTTGTTTAGAAATACATTTGTAAGATGACCACAGCCACATTATCAGTGATGTTGCCCTGGGATCCTAGGAGTTTCAGGTTTATCCAATATCAGCCTCCTTCACTTAGATTACCCTGCTGGTGGTGATCAAATACCAACATGTGACTGTACAAAAAGCTGTGGGAAAATATCAATCGCAGAATGCAAAGGACTTTAAAAGAGATCTTGACACCTTATAAAACCGCAAATCAGCTTTCCTCCAATCAAATTCATCCACAAGCACTCCACCCCCATCAGAATGGGAGAATCCAAAATTCAGGTTTCCCCAATCCAAAAATGGAGCAGATGAGCCAGTAGGCAAATTTTGGCACACAAAATGATTAGCAACAGGTAAATGTCTTCATTCTAAAAAAAAAAAGAATGCTGTACTCATCTGTACACATGCATCCACACACCAACCCACATGCACAAACACAAGACAATTTGAAACAGAATTGGGCAAGCTGCTGGGCTCGTGAGGAATCCACTTAAAATAAAAATTGGCATGGATGTAGGAGAGAAGATCAGCTGATATGAAAAATATTTTTTAATCAATCAAAGTTGACTTAAACTTGCTTAAAGTTCATATTTTCTTGATTTCAGATGAAAACTTGGAAATATTCCAACATATTTCAGTGAAATTATTGCTTTCCAAAATTAGAGTTTATAATTATAGTTTAGATATATTGGAATTATTAAACTGAACAAAAAAAGCAACTAATTTTTTATCCCCCTAAGGGTTATAAAAATAAAAATTATTTCATCTATAAATCAGTCACTGCAGTAGTCCATATGCAGTAAAGTGAGAAATACCAGTCTGAAAAGGGCAAGTCACCAAGAATGCCAGTTTATCTATGTGGCATGAGTACTTCTCTTACTGCTTTGAGGCAAGCTAGCATATACACATCAAACAACTCATTCATGCCAGCAGCAGCAGCAGCAGCAACAGCAGCAAAAACTAAGTTCCTCACAGCACATGGCATTCTGATAATGAAACATCAAATGTCTATAAAAGTAGTCAAGACTAAATTGTGAGTGGGAATATTCATACTATTGTGTGAACTTTTATCAACCTTTCCAACAAATCCTCATTTCCACAAACTCTAATATATATATATCCTCATACAGTTTTAGTTACGGCGGACTGGTCATGTCTTGAGAATGTCTAATGACAGGATACCCAAGATCCTAATGTACAGCCAGTTAGATCAGGGCTACAAGAATATAGGATGCCCATGGCTAAGATACAAAGACAATCTGAAGAGCAACTTGTCAGTGGTTAATATATCTCATAACACCTTCGAGCACTTAGCCTTGGAGTAGATAGAATGGAGATCAACGTGTTTTAGTGGACTTAGCAGTTTTCAATCTGCTAGTCTGAAGCATCTTCAAGAAGTGACAGCAAGATCTAAAAGGTTAGCCAATCTAACAGTGATTTCATCCCACAATCCTCACTTTTGCTCCATATGTGGCCTCCTTTGTAAATCACTAGCAGGTTTTAAGTGCCACTTAAGATTATCACACAAAATTTCATAACTGAATCAATTGGTTAAGTTATCAGATCCTCATACATCAAAACTGATGGGAGAATCCATTATATATATATATATATATATATATATATATAATCAATAGCATCAATTAGGAAATCAATTCATTGTATGGTAAGCAAGCTTTTCTTACAGTAAAAGACCACCTAAATGACTTCCTAACACACCTTTCCTTCTGTCTAATAAATCCCATAAAGTTTGAAGGGGGTATCATCGGTCAAAAAATTTTGAAAAATGTATGTGATTTGCTGGGAGTTGTCACACAGTCAAATCAATGGAAAGGAACTAGTGAATGCATCTCCTGGTTCCATGACATTAAAAATAAATGTGAGCATTATTTATACAGTAGGATATTAAGGAAATCTACCCCTTAATATCAGAAAAAGTCTACTAGAAGCACTGAGTTATGTTAAAGAATTTATTGATATTCCACATGATGATATTGAAGTAGTGCTGCATTGCCGTAAATCTCTTTTGAATCAGGATGAAGAAATATGGACAAAAAAAATCCAGTGCAGATGTTTTTAATGTCCCACAAGGATCTTTCAATTGTGCCTAGGTTTTGGAGCTAATGGGCTGTTCATAATGAGTAAAATTAATAAAATTGTCCACATTGACAATCACAGCCTCTACTGAGATGATGGTCTGATTGTTATACCCAATAATAGAAAAGCAAATGACAAAATTAGGGAATTGCTTTTCAACTTCTTCCATGACATTAATTTCGACATTACAGTCAAGATGAATGAAAAAATAGAACAATATTTAGATGTTGAATTTAACCTCCAAACCATATACAAAGCCTAATATGATGCTGAAATATATTAACTCTAAATCCAACCACCCTAAATGTATTATTGAACGCATCCTAAAAAAGAAATTGAATGTAGATTATCAAGAAATTCCTCATCCAAGGCGATTTTTGAATTGAATAAAAAAGAATATGAAGCAGCATTGAGCGAAAAGGGACACAAAATGAAATTGAATTTCAACCCTTATTTGAATCATCAATTGAAGAATAAATGCAAAAATAGAAAATAGAAGATTATCTGGTTCAACCCACCATTTAATTCGAATGTAAGAACAAATATTGAAAAAATTATTTTTTAAATTACACACTAAACATTTCCCAAAAGCTTCAGGGCTACATAAAATATTTAACAAAACACAGTGAAATTGAGTTATTGCTACATTGATAATTTAGACAAGATTATTATATGTTGAATTTGAAGAATTCCAAAACAAATTATCATAGTAATAACACTAA